TGTGAGGTGCAGTTCGACTATGGGCTGCGCCAGAAGAGGAACTTGAAGATGGAGCAGCGACCAACGTCGTTTACTTCCGCCGCGGGCAAGCAGATCGAGGTCATCACTACTGTCGCGGAATCAAACGAGCGCACGACCAGCCGGGGCAAGGTGTGTGACTATGTCTCTGCCTTTGTTCGTTCTTGAACCCTGCGTGCAGTCGATACATAAGGCTCTTGAGCTTGAACTGGCACCTGATACGGTCAAGGTTCAGATCAAGTCGGCCGAGGAACGATGGGCATTGCGGTACTTCTCTTCTTGCGCGGTCGTCTGCGCGTGCTCACTGGGTTTGACAGCGTGATCAACATGTATGCGTCATTTCAGGCTTTGTCCGAGGTTGGCGTATGCGTAAGTGGGTCTCACGCCGTATGTGCGTGTATGCTCACCACCATTACATATCAGCGCGAGATGCCTGTGTTTGGCTTTGTAAACGACCAGCTTGTAACAGGCATCATTGTGGGTCTCCCGCCATGTTATCTCCCTCTGACGCTGAACATGCTGCCAGGACGAGGTTGTACGCAAACCAATGCCAACACTTGAACCTACCAGAAGCAGCCCATCCAAGCGCTCAGCCTCTGGTGGTTCTCCGGCAAGTAGCTCGCCTCACCGATCGAAGAGGATTCGACAAGACCAGCCAATCACTTCTTTCTTCCTCCCGCCCTCGAAGTTGGCTACCCATTCGAGTGCTCTACCCAAGACGCCATCAAGTAGCGCTTCAGAACTACCTGTTTTCGATGATTCGCCTGACGGAATGCCACCTCGCTTCGCTTTGCATCTTTCCGATACCAAGAGCCGAACCAAACCTTACCTACCACCAGACGAGGACACCATTGGCTCGCGCCTCCAGCTAATGCTCTATCACCGCCTGCTCAGCTCCCTCCTCGCTACTGCTCATCCCCACCGCTCCTCATCTGTTCCCCTCGACTTCAAATTCCTCTGGGAACGCGCTGGCGTCGACCCCGCCAAGCGCTTCTCAGACACTTTTATCGAGGACGCCGGCATCGGACCTGAGACAACCCAAGACCTCGCCAATTACTCAACCCAGTCGCTCGTCAACGTGTCCTGTCTAAACGACCTCATACCACACTGGACACATTCCATAGAAGCGCTCTACATTGCCGGCGTCGACGAGAATCTAACACTCGTCTATCGCCTCCAACCATCCACGCGACGGGGCAAGAAGGATCAACGTCGCTCGCGTCGGCGCAACGGGGACGAGCCTCTGACTGAGCAGGAAGCCCACGACCTCGCGGCCGCCATCCAGGCGAGCGTGAGCGACCTACGTCCCGGTGAGGGAGGTGAAGGCGACTTGGCGAAGGCGATGTTCACGAGCCTTTCGGACTCGCTCGCGTCGGGCCGTGTGGCAGATGGCGATCTGGGCGTGCTCACGCATCCGTTCGGCCCTCCTCTCGAAGCCACCGGTCTAGGCGGGGGCTTGGGTGGCGACCCGCAGCTTGCGTGGGCGCTGCAAGAGTCCCTCCTCGCGCGGGCGAAGGAGGTCCCGGTGCTCAAGGATGCGATTGCAGACGCGGAGGCCTCCGCATCCGAGGACCCATCGATGGAGGAGCGGCTGGCGCCCGTCCCGGAGGAAGTCGAGCCGGCACCATCCAACTCAACCTTGGTGGGTTCGGAGCCCCCGAAGACCGCGCCATCATCTCCGCATGCCGCACAAGATGAAGACACGGAAATCGCAGTCGAGGACGCCCGGATTCTTGGGAAGAAAGAGTTTGTATATGACGATGCTTACCTCGATTCGTACATGGCCCGCGTGCTTGCGTGGTGGCATGGCGAGCGTGCGCCAGAAGGCGTGGAGGTCGGGCTCACGAGGCGTTGCATGTGAGTAGCTGCGTCCTTGGGCTATATTCCTGGCGTCCATGCTGATCGGGCCTCTATAGGACGTGCGAGTACCGCGATGGCTGCGAGTGGAGGGAGAAGAAGGCGCAAGAGGCGTTAGATCAGTATCAAGATCATAGCCAACCTGCCGCAGCCGTGTCTATCGCCGCGGAACCTTGGTTGTGAGGACCACCGTTTGGACAGTTGGGTATATGCTTTCCGAAACAACAGTATGTAAAGTACATCTGCTGTATTGTGATGTTTCTGGAATTTTGGATAATCCGGTATCTTCTCGCTCCGGTTTTCCTACACGCTGTCGGTGTTTAACGCGTTTGACCAGTCGAGCCTGGGTCGCTCGGCGGTCGGCGCTAATCCGCAGTCACGCCTTAGCTTCTTACACCGACAAGGCCCCAAGGACTCTTTGCCACGTCTAAACGAAAAATGCCAGCTTCTGTCTGAGTGGGTGAGTGTCGTAGTACTCGCCGTGTCCTTAAATTGACTGGCGGGACGTTTGTTTGCAGGTATCTTCTATTGCAACTGATCACGTCACCACGACGGGCGGGCAATTGTTGCATGTCCGCGAATAGCGGGAAGTTCTCGGAATCAGACCATGATTCTCCAGCAGCAGCGGTTGCTCAAGTGCGCAAACCCGCCTTCGACGGTCCACTGAGTCGATAGTGGAAGCTCTTCTCGTACGTGCTTGCATCCGGTTTCAGTGCAAGACTTGTCAGATACGCCTTTCTCTGACGGAGGTGAGGGTTCTTGGCGAAACATTCTCCCTCGGCGTTTCTCTCCCAATGCACATCTGTAGCTGATACCCGCGAGCGAAAGCGAGTCGCTGCTGCCTGAACCAATGTTGTTGGTCTGGCCTCCAGGACTTCGGCCGTTGGCCACACGCTGTCTCCTTGACACAGCGCGCACCGGGTGCATCATAGCGCAGTGCAGTCGGCATCGAGGCCCTCCGAACATTGCGTTCCGGCGTTCGTACCCCTCTCCGCTTGCACGATGGTATAAAGGTGCGTGCCATCTACAATGGCTCTCCAGTCTCCCAGTCAACTCACCCGGACGTAGAACATCAAGCCTCGCCCTGCTTTCGCTTTTCTGCGCTGCAATCTGTTTCTGCGAACGTCTCTTCAACCCTCTCCCCCTTGTTTGTCACCATGGTTGCCTTCAGTACTTACTTCGTTCTTGCCGTCGCCCTGGTTAGTTCCGCCGTGGCCACTCCTACTCCTGATCCTGAGGTCGCGCTCGCTCTGAGGAGCGTTGTGCACGTCGGACGTGTAGGTTTTCTTGTACTATTCGGGAGTAAGCAGGAGAGCGCTGACACTTTTGCAGGGCACCTTCTTCCACGTCGGGCTAGGAGCGTGTGGCGAGACGAATGTCGACAGCGACCACATAGTCGCCATCCCCTCGTCGCGCTTCAAGAACGGCAAACATTGCGAGCAGGTATTGTCCCTTCAGCCCAAATCATGTGCGTGTGAAAGTGTAACCTCCCTGTGTTGGTAGTTCGTGCACATTGTCAACACGCAGACCAACAAGAAGGCGTTCGCTAAGGTCCGCGACTCTTGTCCTGGCTGTGGCGAAAACGATATCGGTGAGCACAGCCATTGCTGTGCGCTGGGACAGTAGGCTCATGCGCACACGACCGCTTTTCAGACATGAGCCCTTCGCTCTTCCAAGCTCTTGGCGCGAACCTAGCCGAGGGCGTGATTCCTGTGAAGTGGGAGTTCAAGAAGAAGGGCTTCCACCCCTAGAGGAGCGGTTCGGACAAGTAGGACGTATCCCCTTGTTGTGAGATTCGAGGACTGCAGAGATGAGGTTGCCCTCTGCAATGGGACGCAGCATGGGAGCCCCACGAACATTGACATAGACTACTTATGATCAATGCTACACGTCCATGGCCACGGTGTTTTGCCCTTGCCCCACGCGGGACATGGCTAGAGGAGGTCATGAAATATTCTGCAGTCTTGCTTACGCGAGCCTCGAGGCGGGCCGTTGCGCAAGGTTGAATGAATGACCGGTTCATTCGGGAAGCGAGATCTGCGATGGAATAGTATGGGGAGTCCGAGATTGTCGGCATCTGAGTACAAACATTTGGCACCCTCTCACCTCAATCCCTCACAGACGTCCTCTCATGGGTACTGTCGTGTTAGTCGTATCTCTTCATCTCTCTCTCCATCGCAGACCCCGTCTGCGCGCCCGGTACGCACTATATGTTGTTCTCTCCTCGCCGTTCCCCCGCGCAACAGCGCCGATTCCCCCGCGCAACAGCGCCGATTCCCCCGCGCATCAGCGCCGATTCCCCCGCGCATCAGCGCCGATTCCCCCGCGCATCAGCGCCGATTCCCTTGCGCATCAGCGCCGATTTCTACACAACTGTCCCGGACGCTCTCAAGACTCTGTATCGGCAGCTCCACGAGTGAGCTTCATCCTATCCCTACGCGATTATCGCCGTCGTGCTGTTTCCCTGAGCATCAGCGCCGACTTCGTCTTCGCGAGTTGTCCTACTCTATGGTCCTTCGTGTCGTTTCCCTACGCTTCAGCGCCGATGTCTCCACTATTGTCCTGCTCCTTCAGAGCCTTCCTACTTCTCACTCACTTTCTCTCCCTCCCGTCCTCTGCCCCCATCTTGTCTGGTGTGTAGGTGCTCCTATTCCTATTCCCCTGCACCCCTATGATTGGTGACTCGCGACATGAGCACCCCTAGAAGTGGTGACTCGTGCGCATGACGTCACGGGACATTGGCAGGCTGGCGGCGTGGATCGGAGACAAGGCTGCTATGACATTGATGGCAGACCTTCTGATTCATACTTTCCATATATGCGGTGGCTGATCACTGCTTCAATAGTTTCGTGACTTTCGTATATACTATATTAGACATGTGCTCGTGCGGCCACTCGTCGGACGACGGGGCGTCTACAGGACAGCGCGGGAGTCGGCGTGCTGCCGTGCTTATCTAAGTAGCGTTCCGGGATCACCTCCGGTAGAGGAGGTGATTGAACTGCCCTCTCTCTCTCTCTCTCTCTCTCATGGCGCTGCTTGATCGAATACTGTGTTCTCGCCCTCATAATCAACAAACTAGTACCACTTCGCGCTCCTCCTTGCTCGCCTTGTAGATGACAATCCGTTCATACATCCGCCTGCTCGCCGCCATGCTTGTCCACTCCAGCAGTGCCCCCTTCGACTTCACCTTCGTCAACCTCCGTATCAAGCTCCACAGAGGGCTTGCCCGACACCACCATTATCTCCTGGTCCGACTTAATCTCCCCCAAGGAGTCGAAATCTTCATCGTCCGATATTTTCTCGTATTTCCAGCCATCTCCATAACTAGCTCGAATTCGCGCCTCCATCTCCCTGTCATACTTCAGCCCTCCAAGCTCGGCGGTGCCTTCTTCCATGAGCTTCCAGGCCCCGTTGCGTGCTTGCTCGCGGATGGATCGCTCGTGGGCGAGGGTTGCAAAGGCGTACATATTCAGCTCTCCTTTGAGCCAGTCGATGTGCCATTGATGGAGGTCAGGGTCGATGGTCTCGAGTAGTTCCGGTGAGGGCAGCTCGGACCGAACAGCTGCGGAGAGATAAGCCAGTTGAACGACGAGGTAGGACGTAAACCTTTCGGACAAGGAGTCTAGGACGCGGTGTACTAAGGCGCAGTACATCCGCGGGAGAGATGGGTAATGGCTATTGGGGTCCGGGGAAGATGATAGGTCCTCGGACATGCCAGGCCAGGCTTGAACATCGAAGAGGACGGCGAGGTCGTCCTCGCCGGGGATGGCATCAGGATGCGCCACGGGCGGTGAAAGGACAGCCGGCAATCCATCCACAGCGGGCTCCCAAAAGTCCTCTACAACGGCTGGGGGATGAACGGCAGGGGACCAGCCGGCAGCCAGAAGGACGGCCTCCGCATTGCTCACGGAATCGACGAGGAGGTAGTATTGGAATTGCACCGTATCCGATCCGTGGAATCGTAACGCTCGTTCGTACCAGTGGCAGTGAGGGATGCTGTGCTTGCGGAGAATCGGAGAAGGGTCCTGGGGCCGCTCTCGGGGCATCTGGCGAGTACCAGATTCTGCGCCATTCAGTGTGAAATCAGCACACAGGTCTAAAGGTCATATGTGCGATAAACTCACTCATTACAATATCTACGTGAGGGTCTGCGGAGGGAATGAGATGAGGTGGCGGGGCGGATGGTGGAAGTGGCACGGAGGACTCTCAATGTGGGTCGGAGGGTGGGTATCCCAAGGAGTGGCGTGTCCCAAGGAGCCCAAAGCGCCCCAGCCTCGGCCCGTCCCCTCCCGGGGGCCGCCCGCGAAGCAAGTCCAAACAGGTCATGGCTAGAGGAGGTCTTGAGAATCTTCCATAATTCTGTTTTCGTGAGTCTCGAGGCGGGCCGTGGCGGACGGTTGAACGGCTGAACAATGAACGAATGGCGGGGTGATCCGGGAAGCGAGATCGGGGACGGAATATGGCGAGACTGGGAGTCCGAGATTTTCGGCATCTGAGCTTCGCTGCGCTTGTTGGCAGGCCCCAACCCACTTCGCGATCGAACACCGCTCTTTCCCCTACCATCAAGACCCCGCTTGGCCCTCGGCGCGCGCTCTCCTTCCGTCTCTCCTTCAATTATCCCCCTCCCTACTGTACACATCACTCCTGGTTTCTCGCAAAGATGATGGGCAATGGCACTGGATGGGAGGACCACCTCCACTGGGGCCTTCTGAGTGAACACGTCTTGGTTGCTGGGCTCAAGCTCGACTCTGGGTGGTCTTTCTTTGTTGCATCCCTGCTCACAGTCGCTGTATGCGTGTCCGAAAGGTATGTCGTTGAGTCCATACGCCACGACGAGCGTCTTGTCTGACGATCTTACGCGCCAGGATATTGACCTATGCCATCTCACAAAAGTGGAATCCTTTCCTCCCGCGTGGCCACCGGCCAACACGCTTATCGAAAGCGTTGTGGCAAGCGATGCTGTACTGGCTGGTCACTTTAGCGAGACTGTATGTGCATGATGGGGAAGGCGGGCCAGCATCGTGTGCTGATAGGGGCGGACAGGATGTACATGCTCATAGGCATGACGTTCAGCTTTGGGTGAGCGAAATATCATCTGCATCCCTCTAACGCATCTTAATTTCGATTCTAGGTTGATCATAATCGCTGTCACGACGTTGGCGACTGGCCAATTCATCATCGAGCTGCTCGACCATACACCTTTGCCTCCGCGCTCGCGCGATGAGTACGTCTCGCCCCTATCTTCCTCACGCCCCTTCTCACTCGCGCACAACCTCCCTACGTCCTCTCAAGTTCCGAGCACTTCTACAAGGAGCCCCTCCTCCATTCGGACGAGGATGCGTTCGGTCCTGAGCCCAGCCCCGTCTACCCGCCGTCCCGCCCCAGCCTCGGCCCGTCCCCTCCCGGGGGCCGTCCGCGAAGCAAGTCCAAACCCGACGCGATCTTCATTCACCCGAACGAGTCCAACCTCGCGCGCGCCGACGTCGCCGCCGCCCAACTCGGGCTCGGGGGCGACACCGAGCGCGTCCGTACGGAGGTCTTCCGTGTCGGCGCGGATACGGAGGCGTGGGAGCCCGGACGCGGGCGGGACATCGCGCGCGAGCTGCTTGGTCGCTGACGGTGACACAGACGACGGACAACGGAGATGGTGCGCCCGTCATTCGCTCTCACTCCGCTGGCTGTGGTTGTCCTCCCCGCGCACCGTCTCCGGGTTCACCGCCCTGCTCCCACGGCGGGCTTGACGAGGACGGATGCCGTGCCTGCCATGGCGATGGGAGCGTCCTTGTCGCTGGTCTTGGGGACCGCACTTTGATCATCCCGCAAGCTGGACGGGAGATACATCATTCACCTATGTTCGCTCTCTGGATCCTCTCGCGCAGAGCATCCGGATGTTGTTTCGCGTAACTTATATCTGTATTCATTGGTCTTGCCTTTCTCTCCTTTTCTCCCTCTCTCACCGAAGCCCAGGTCAAAGTCCATGTAGAGTATCGGACTCTTGATTACTAGTATTTCAATATTGTATGCTAATGATATCCCAAGCCACGGATCATCATGGCCTGCTTTCGCATCATTCTCCATACTAAGACATTGTCCACACATCTTGGAAGAGCTGAGGGTCAGTCTTAGCGTTCGCCATCTCGGGGGACATGGGGTTTCCTCGGAAGTGCATACATTGTGTTGGGGCATTCCCCGATACTTCAAAACAGAATACAGGTCATGAACTGATACATCTCCTCATACACAGTCTTTCGCTTCTGCTTGTACAATTGTCTGTCCGTTTCCGATAGCAACCGGTCTTATCTAGGAAGCTGCGCGACACACTTCACACCTCTTTCTCGGGTACAACCTTGCCGTGCTTCGAACTGTCGAACGCGTCCAGGCCGGAAGCGACTCGTGCTCCAGCAATCAGGGAACTCCAGTCCAACACGTCGAAGTGCGCATCGCCGCGCTGGATTTGGGCCTGGTGAAGGGCGCGAGCCGTGAGCAGATGCTGGTGGGCGGCATCCTGTTCCACCAAAGTAAGTAGAGCGTCAAGGGATCACTGGCTGGATGCTGATGCACCCACCAGGGAGGGCATGGGAGAGTTCAGCTCGGTCGTCAGTCGTCGAATGTGTTGAGAATCCTTGATTCCGCCGTCAATGGCAAAACCCTTGGTGCCGTCGAACTTGTCGTGCAACATCTTGTCACCGTATGCAGTGAACCTGTGGGAGGATTAGAAGGAGGGCTGCGTGCATCGTGAGACAGAATGTACGCACAATGGCGCAGGAATCAGCTCCTTCATGAGAGAGTACGTCATGGGTGCCCCGATGCCGGCCTTCTCGCCTAGAGCGAAACTTTCTGCGATAAGCTCTAAAGAGCCCAGGATCATGCTGTTTCCAATGAGCTTGAAAGTCGAAGCTGGACACGCGGTCAATTATTCCGGTACGACGCGCGAAGACAGAACGGATTGTGCTACGCACCTTTCTCAATGTTTCCACCGAGATCTATGACCTTCCGACCAACCGAGGGGTACATAATGTGAGCAACTTCCTTCTTGGAGCGGTAGTCTCCAGACATAACGATGAGAAGTTGGGCGATTTCGGCCGTCGCTGGAGGACCGAAGACAGGGGATGACACGAATGTTGTGGAGGGAATACTGCTGAGGAGAACATCGAGTTTAGCTGTTGCAGAGCCCGAGTTTTCAGAGAAGTGCTTTCGTGAGAAAAACAGTGATATACACACCCGCCACGGTCGGGTAGATAGTGCTCGTCTCGACAAAGATCCGACCCTTTGCTTGTTTCCCGTCCTGCATTGGCGGACGAATGAGATGTAGCACAAGGGCGGATAGGGTAGAAAGCGCACCTCTAGTGTCTTCACGAAGGTCTGGTACACACTCAGCACGACCTCGTCGTTGGAGAGGTTTGTGAAGATGATGTCACACTCAGAGACCACTTCCTCGAGGGACGCCGCTACCGAGATGATGTCTTGCCCAAGCTCCTTGGCGAGAGCATCTCCCTTGACCTTTGTACGGTTCCACACGACGACTGGGAGCCCACCCTGGACATGTTCTTTACGCCACTTCGCCATGTTGCGTGCCATGGGATAGCCCATCGCGCCCAGGCCGCAGAATCCGATTTGCACGGCATGATGCCCGGGGGTCGCGGGACGCGAAAAGGGGTTCGGCTCGGTCTGCTGGAGGTGGAGGAGGTGCGCATCCTTGGGTCTTGCCATGGTCCAGATGAAAGAGAGATAGACGCAGATAGCAGCAGGAAGGGGAAACCGAGGGACTGAGATCGGCGCTGCTGCATGGGGAGCCCGCGGGCGGCGGCGGGCCGGAAAGACGGATTATGTCAAGCACGTGAACTAACCCTAATATAGGGGCCCGTACGCGTTATTACGGTTCGTCGACGCGTTCTCGAGAGGCGCCCGGAGGCGGCGGCAGGTGCCGAGCGCGAGCTGGTTGTGGTCGGCTACGGCCAGCTATCCACTGCACCTTCCTCTCTCCTCCACTGCTACGCTTCCCGCCGCGCCTGCCATGCAGGCGTACCCCGCGGATATCCCGCAGCCCAACAAGGGGACCCTCGTCCCCGGCCAGAGCATCACCGTCAACAAATACACTGTTGTCGTGGAGCGCTACCTGAGCCAGGGTTCGTTCAATCCGTTGCTACATCGTCCAGCCATCTAATCGAAGCCCGTCTGCAGGCGGGTTCGCTCACGTCTATCTCGTCAGGACCGCTCAGCCGGTCTACAACACGACACATCATGTCCTGAAGCGTATTGCCGTTCCGAATGAAGCGATGCTTTCAGAAGTCAAGAAGGAGGTGGACATTATGGTCAGTACCACTTTCTTTCTTAGTTCAGCACGTAGATGCAACAAAGCTTGGAGCATAAAGCGAATGGATGGAGTGCTCATGGCAGATAGTGCCGATCATCTCGGCTTATGCACTATGGGCATGCATGTTCAAGGAGATGACCGCTGGGTTAAACATGCGAGTCTGTTTGTGACCCAGGTCATGCATGAGCACGTATGCGCCACGTTATGGATCTTCCGCATGTGCATGTGGTGGATCTCAAGCCACAATTGAACGCAGTTAGCAGAGGGTGCTACGGGCTGGACGAAGCATGTGTTGTTTGCGACTATACTGACCGAATGCTTAGAGAATCCTCAAGGGGCATCCCAACATCGTCTTCCTCATCGACGCAGCCTGGCACCGGATGACCAACGGCACCTACGAGGTTTTCATTCTCATGGAGTTCTGCCCTGGTGGAGGAATTATCGACATGATGAATCGCCGGCTCCGAGAACGCCTCACCGAGCTGGAGATCCTCACCATCTTCGTTGAAGTCTGCGAAGGCCTGGCTGCCATGCATGCACTTAAGCCCCCAATCCTTCACCGCGATCTCAAGGTGGAGAACATCCTTCAGGCGTCTTCGACCTCGTACAAGCTATGCGACTTCGGTAGTGCCATTCCAGTGCAAAAGATCCCCACCAATACGCAGGAGCTCCGCATGCTGGAGGCCGATCTTAATCGACATACAACTCTGCAATATCGCGCGCCGGAGATGA